CGTTGATCCAACCCATTTTCTGGAGACTCATGGCTTAGATTCTACTTGCCTGGAATTAATTGAAGATATTAGATAACCCCAATTTGATCCATGGTACAAAGCATTAGGAACACGTTTAGGATTCTTTTTCGTTACCGACTATCATCAAAACTTATCAGTATTAATAATAATCAGGAGGCTGCCTTTAATTATGAATTGCATCTGTGCGCTAAAAAAGTGATAAAAGTAGAAATAATCGTCTGTTATCGTTTCCAACTTCGTGAGCTTTTGGGCGGGAAACTTTATATTATATGAAATAAACTTTAACATCTTTCTGAGCCTTTAGCTCTATATCAATCTGAGATGAGAGAAATAGTTTACATCGAAGAAGTACAACCTCATAAGCCTTTTAGCAGATAGCATTGTGTATTGCGTAAGCTCGTATTTTTGTTCGTTATTATGGTACGAACTATTTTGCTTTAGGACTCTCCTGTAAATTTTTCCTGTAAAAAAGAGAAATAGACGTCTTTCTTAAATTAGGCATTTAATACATCCTTTGAAACCGAAAGTCAGATACCTTCATATATATTCATGTCCTTTTTTCGAAAATAGAACGACAAACCTATTCTTACCATCCCACTAGTAATAATGATACAAAAAATCAACAAATTTTCCGTTTGTTCTTGAAGTTTATTTCAAATCATCCTGTATATTGAAAGATATGTATTCAACACGAAAGCCTTTCAAATATAGGTATTGTGCGCATATATCTCTGTTTGTAATTTTTTAACTTTTTTTCCCAATTATCGTATTTATCAACTGCGGATATCAATCTCATAATCAAATCTGCCATACAGGAAAAGTTATTTCGCCAAGTTCTACTTTAGTGCACCGTTGGTCTTGACAGACATATGGCAACTGAAACTGTCCTAATTTCATCGCGCAATCATCAGGACACTTGGTCACGACAGATTCTTAACTTTCTCCGCTTCATTGTTGTTTTCGAGCGAATCTTAAATCTGTACACCTTTATATTTGTTCGAGATTTCTACCCGATTCTCCTACTTTTCATGTACCTACGGGTTTTTGATTTTCTGCTACGGCCACTATTGTTTCCATCTATTGGACTGGCACGACGGCCTGGAGCAGGGAGAGGCTAAGCAGCGCTTCCTACCTGTTGCGTCACAGTTCGCGATCCAGCGCCTTCACCGCCGTTTGCTGATGGCGTATTTTCTGAGTCGGCGTTGTCTCGGACAACAAGTCGACGAACTAACGTGACGGTCTTCAACCGCTCAAGAGGATCCATGAACGCTGGTAAAAGGTGACCGGCCACCAGATAAACGAATCGACGCTGAGGATTTTGAGCCTCGTAAATTGGCCTAGCTAACAGGCAAGTCTGGGTCGTACAATTGCTTAGCTGGCCGCGTTTGAAAAGTGGGTAATATCCCACCTAGTCGACCCGTCATTCCTCGGTACTCCAAGCCGCCTCATTTACCAAGAAAATGAAGTGTGATTTTCGCATCCGGCTATGACAGACAGCCAGCCAGAAAGGCAACAGCCAGGCTAGATAGCAAATGAATAAAGGACACTTATTCTTTTTAACGGAACTGACTGACGGATCAGCGACATTTGCGACCAACTGCGAACGGCGTCGACTTTTCAAGTGGCACCAACTCGATGTTCACGGTGGGCCTTACGATGATGGGAGAACGATACTCGACAGACATCGCAAAACTATGCTATAATCTACTATGTATATAAATAATATATATATATATATATAATAGTTAACATTTGATATTGAACAACGGTACATTTTTAGGCAAAGTCGAGCCTTATATAGATCGTAATGCTAAAACTGAAGGCAGATTATTAAAATGCATGAAGTTTGCTTGAAGTACATCTATCCAAAGACGAGCAGTGTAACGACCATAATTAGCTTGCGACAACAATCTGTGAGTGAGCATTTTTTTACGATATGTTTACATTTTTACAAAAAATTACACCGCTTTTTTACTCTAAGACTTAACTCTAATATCAATTTATTTTTAGTTTAAATTTACTTTTCTCTTTTTTGAAAAAAATAGATAAACAATAGATTTACGTTTGGTAGTTAATCAAAGTACGCTAAAAAAAACTATCATATATATGGTGAGTATTAATATTTGTTAAAATAAAATTGTAAAAATATGATTTCCATGTACCTCAGTGTGCTTAGTAATGTGAAGGTACGTGCACTTCGTGACAAAAAAGATTGTCTTTTCTTCAAATCCTTTCCAAAATAGGAATAAGTTTAAGTAAGGTGAATAGTTTGTATTCTGGATATGGGTAAACAAAGGTCGAAAAGTAGAAACGTGAAAATATACAGATATATAATGAATACCTAATAGAGAATAATAAATAAGAAGGAACGTAATGAGTTCAATATTAGGAGGTCAACGGACAATTAATAACTTGTAAACAGCAATAAGTGAGCGAGCAAGCACTGGATAAACTTAACACAGAATGGGACAAAACTGAAATCGATGTGTTCAACCCAGCACGCTCCAACAGTTTTTTCCTTTCGGCTTGCTAATTTCAGGCACCCGACGTCCTGAGCGTCAAACGTAAGCCGGCGCTCGGCATGAACCTACGCACGAGGTGCGTCAACCAGCTGCAATGGTATGAACCGCGGGGGTATGTCGAAAAAGAAACGCAAACAGAGCCTTCAGCTGGTCCATCACAAGCCTTCCTCACCGAATCGAGCACTTCTTCGACCTGTTCACTCATTGACTTGACAATATATAGTGGTTCAACGCTAGCCGGCAACAAATCGACCGTTGGAACTTCGCTGTCTGTCGGTGTTCGTATTAATACAGGGTATCGACATCGACACCCTCACAGGCACCAGCAGAGATCGTGGAAGAGTACTACATTACGGAAACGTCAAACGCAGCAGCAGCAGCAACAAAAACGACAATTACAATTGAGATACCAGCGCGCATCGTTGTTGTTGTCACTAATTTTCTCAGCTTAAGCTACGATGCAGTAATATTTCGAGAAAAATTGTGGGTTAAAGCGAGTAAATTTTCTCACTTCTATTCAACGTTATGCATAGAAGACACCGCGCAACCCGGTTCGAGGTTTGCCGAACAGAATCTAACATTTTCAGATAGATAAATACAGCGGCAGCAGACAAACTCGTCTTTCCTTCGATAAGAACTTTGCTTTCTATCAGAAGAAGACACGTAACGTCCCGCCTTTTCGCTTCTGCTAAAACGACTAATTCGCTTTGTTACTGAGGTCGCACTGGATTCGCCACCCAACCGGAGAAGCCGGCCATTTCGAGACCAACACGAGCCAGCAGATTACGACAGCGAACGAAGCAGGCCAGATTGGAGCGATAATCCTATCAGTTTGCAAGTCACTGCTGCACACCCGGGGGCTTGACCAGCATTCGAAGAGGTACACAACCCCCCACCACCCCCCCACCCTTCATTTACTGATGCCGCACAGCCTCTCCGCATGGGACTCGCGTTTTTACGAGCCAGTCATCAACGAGCTACAGCTTGCTACCTACGCCTTTCATTAACAGAACAACAATTATCACATAATCAGCACAACAAGCCACCGAGAAACGAGCGAGGCAGCTACCGATACACCAGCACAGCCGAGAACTGTCAGCAGTAGAAGCAAGCTTAATGTCGCGCATAGATGTGCCTACATCAAACTTGCGCTCACCCGAAGCACCTTGACGCATGGACGAACAACAGTGAAGAGAGGAGTGGAATTTGCGCGCGCGCGCGCGGGCGGGCGGGCGGCCTGATCCCGTCGGAGCACCGCGACCGTCTGACCCTAGTGATCCGCGTTGGCGTGTTCTCTTTCGGCGTTAGCCATTGCTTCGACATCGACCTGCCGCTGCTAAGTTCAACGGCGGCCACCGGGCGTGAATCTGCCCCGCTGTGAGTGTACCCCGTTCATCGGCAGCGACTACCCTCTCCACTGCGCGGCGGAGCGACATAGCCGACTGGAAAGGGACTCGGGAAAGGAGGAGCCATTGAGCCCTTTCCTGGCACAGCGGCGGCCCGCGCTGGCGGATCGGCGCTGCCGCTGGCAGAAACGGCCGTCCGGGTACACTTCACATAGCCAGTCTGCGCTCGAGACGTGCGGTCACAGACAGCGACCGCACTCGCGAGGACATCGAGTCGCAAAGCAAAGCAAAGCAACGCAACGCAGCGCGGCGAAGTCGACGAGGTAACAACCGAGTTGTTGTTACCACCGGCAACAGCGACAGCACCAGCAAGCCAATACAAGCCAGCTGACACGACGAACTGCGTTGTCAAGTAGAAGTTGTAAGACACCTCGCCAGCTTGACATAACGTAACGCGGCGTAAACCCGAAACAACAGCAGCAGCAGCAGCAGCAAGAACCGTCTGCCAACAACGTCAACACCTGCTTCTACATCTGTATGTGTATGTGTGTATGTGAGAGTGAGTGAAGCTGAACACCAACAATAGCGGCAATAACTGAAGATCACAATACGTCGCAAACAGTGGCGCCTGTATCGTCTGACATACAAATGCATAGTTGCTTCGGTCAAATCGCGGATGCACTGATACGTCTTACTATCATCATCATTATCATCGCTGCGACTATTGCTTTAAGTAGTGCATCGTAATAATAATACTTATTATAATCAACTCTAAGAAGATAATTAACATTCGTTTCCTAGGTTACGAAAGCAAGTGTAATGCTCTACGCAAGTATACCCCAATTTGTCTGTTAAAGGAAACGAAATCAATGAGACTGACCAGCGATCGTTGACCTGTTAATCAAGTCTGTTATCGGCAGTCAGCAACACGTCATCATGATTCTAGCAACAAGTTACTATACCGAAGTCGGCGGCAGCAGAATTCAAATGAGTCGATATTGACACAATACCCCTTCCTCGCCCGCCCCCCAACCCCCCCTCCCCCACCCCCCGATTGATGATAGCACCGCTACCGATTTCGGCTGGTCAGATGTTTTCGAACCAAGCCCAGCGTAACTATCACTCAACGCGACGATAATTAATCGATATTCTAACCCGTTTCTGAATCAGCGCATTTTCTGTAACGACAAAGCATCTACCGTGGACGAAGTAGAAGTGGCCCAAAGAGTCAGAGCAACAATAGTAGTAATCGACAATAATTTTGTCATCAATTTCCATCGAATCAATCTTGCGGGTCACCAGATGCCAGACTACCAACAACGCGAAGTATTTTATGAAGGCTTTCGTAGAAAAGTATTAAGGTGAAGTGACGGGCTTCCCCATAGGCCAACGACGTCCACTGCGGAAACTGGCAGAAGCGTTAAGAGCATCGCGTCTAGCACTAATAATAATGGTAATGTGTGATGTTCGATTCAATCATTCTGTGATGAGCGTCATATTGTAACAGCGGCCTAGAAAGAACGGACAATGTTATAAAGGCCATCGGTGTGCGACACTGCTAGGAGTGAACGTCTCCATGAGTTCTACTCTCGTTCCTTCTAGCTATAGTACGTGTATCAACTGAATCGGGCGGGAAACAAGACGAGAACTGCTGGCGTGTGAATTATTATGTGCCGGAAAAAAGTGGGTCGTCACAAATGTATAAGTAGTCTTTAGAAAGAGCGTGCGTATTGAGAGAACTCTGATCGTGGTGATGGTTTTAGTGCTGATGTCGATGATCGGAGGGGTGTTAGTTGTGCCCGTGAAATGCAAGCAGTGACCGTAAGGAGGTGTTATGCAGCAAATGTACACTTGTGCGAACAACGTCGTTGTCAGCGAGAATCGACGGCAGGAGAGAGTGGCGAAGAAGTGCGTGATTGCGCATCGTGATAATTATCCGCTAATTTTATCAGCAAAAAACAAACTGAACGCATCAACAAAAAGAGCCACTGGAACTAACCTTAACTAATTATCCGAAATGAAAAGCGGCACCGACTAGCCTGCAAGGCCATTTTCCAGCGTCGGCTTCCTCATTACAATTACCACTACATCAGAATCCGCTTAACGCCAGCGTACGGGCACGCACCGCTATCGAGCAGCCTATTCGCCCGTCTCTAAACAAACCAGCTAAGCCGGAAATAAGCACAATTTAGCTGGTGAAAATCTGCCTTTTAAACCCCTGCAGGGGCAGACTTCGCCTTTATACCCAACGACAAATTTGTGTAACTGCGCTGGTTCCGCATGCATACATCTAGCTGGTGGACTTTAACGACGTCGCTTCCGACATTGAGCAGAATCCGTGTGCGTCGCCAGAAGATAACGACAACGAAAACGCACCAGGGGAAAAAGAAGGATACGGTGGTCGACGAATCGCTGCCGCTAGTAGTAATAATCATCATAATCATAATAACAAGTGAACGTTGTAAAGTAAAAAGTGCCGAACACGCGTCAATCGCGCTGTTCAAGATGACGCTTACGAATGCGATGCCCCAGCAAAACCATCGGCGGCATCGCTGACAGCCGCAGGCTTTTTGCGGCTCCAGGGAGTAGGCCCGAGGAGCTGGAAGGACCGGGAACACGGAGATCTGTGGCCAGTCGACGAAGCGGACCGCAGTGGGGACGGCCGACGAAGGTGTTCGTGCCGTGGCTCGAAGGATAAACACACAATAAAGTCCGCTTTTAACTAGTACTAAACTAACAACTAGTACTGGTGGTAATGAAAATAGCATAGGTTTCTATCGTTATTACAACCGCAGTCTTAAAAGCTACCCTGTTTACTCCGGTCGACGCCCGTCGTCACGAACGCAGCCAGACAGATGAGAATGGAAATGGAGATTCAGGGCGATTCCCGGCAAGCGCTGCAAGTCCAATCTACCTCGACACCGGGGGCCGTGTCCGCTACAAGTGGATCCGTCGTCGGATCAGCTAATGGATCGGCTAACGAACGGTTGAACGAAACGGCCGCTGCAGCGGCCGCCTTCGCGATGGCGCACGCACTTCAACAACAGGCCCAACTCGCCCAACAGGTTCAACAGGCCCAACGTGAAGCGTTCGCTGCAGCGGCGGCGGCGGCCGCAGCCGCTGCTGCTGCCCACGACAAGAATCAGAAACGCCGCAAACAGAGTAAACCTGTACGTGTCCTAGGGCAGCCAGCGACTGAGGCAGGGAGTGCCGGACAACCTGGCGGCGGAAGCGGCGCTGGGGGCGCAAGCGATGAAACGACATCTGGAGGTGGAGCTGACCTGTCCACTTGTGCAACAATTGACGACGACAGCAGATCGTCAGAAGCATCGAGTCGTCTATCAGCGTCGGCTATATCAATAGCCACCGTCGCAGATCTGCAAAATGCGTTGGCCATGCGAAAACGCAAACTGTCCGAGGACGATACCATGGCAGCGAGCGATGGCATGCTGGCGCCCCAGCGTAGTGCGAGCGCCGGTAGTGTCGGCGCAGGCAGCGGAGTTGGCGGTGCCACAGGCTACAACAGTATACGATGCCCCCATTGCGGCGAAACGTTTATCTCCGAGGAGGTTCTGAGGGCTCATATCGAAGAAGAGCACGTCCAGAAGCTGCTAGAAAAGCAGCTACAACAGTCGGGCGCCTACAGCAAAGGCGGGAGTAACAGTAACGGCGTGGCTAGTTCGCGACAGGAACGTGAACTGGCAGCCCTGGCGTCAATGTTCCAGGCCGCTGGCGTACCAGCTACAGGCGCTGTTGGCGGCGAACGACGCGATGTTGCGCCCCTCAGTGGGGCCGATGTCGAGAAGAGCTTTCAGTTCCCCCAGATGCCGCCGCTCGTTCCGATCTCGCAGGCGGATGGTCGGCAGCTTCAGCAGATGATGCCGCTATCCATGTTTTCTAATCCGATGGCGCAGTTCCTCTTCCCCGGCCTACCATCGGCGGTCACGTCGGTTGCTGCATCGGCAGCCAGCGCCGAACGCGTCGCAGATCGCGCAGCCCCAGGCGGCCAGGGGAGTTCGCTACCCCCGTCGACGCCCGGTGGAATGCGTATCTTTAATCCCGAGGCGTACTGTGAGCTGTGCAACAAGGAGTTCTGCAACAAGTACTTCCTCAAGACGCACAAGGCGAACAAGCACGGTATCTACTCAGTGGAGTCGCTGGTCAGCACCCCCGGCGGCTATGCTGGCCAGGGTGGTTTGCAAGGGTCGGTCCAGGGCGGCCAGGGTGGCCCCATTGCCTCGGCTCCCCTCGCTGGCCCCCAGCAGCCCACACAACAGAGCATCCTTAACCCCCAGCAGCAGCAGCAACAGCAGCAGCAGCAACAACAAGCGCAAAACCAGCACCAACAACAACAACAACAGCAGCAGCAACAACAGCAACAACAACAGCAAGTTGCAACAGCTGCACAAGTGGCTGCTGCACAACAAGCGGCACAACAACAGGGCCTCTTGCCGAGCGGCGTACAGCAGATGTTGGCAGAGCAGCAGCAGTTGCTAGCGTTGACGGCCGGCCGGCCAGGAGGTCAGCCGGGCCCTCAGCACCAACAGCAGCCAGGGATTGTCAACATGGAGTCGTTCTGCGAGATCTGCCAAAAAGAGTTCTGCAACAAGTACTTCCTTAAAAAACACAAACAGAAGATACACGGTATCATGTCCGAGCCCTCTACCCCTGGCGGAAGTGGCCCGGTAGCGGCGGCAGGCCAATCGGCGCAGGCGGCAGGGATGGGAACGGAGAAGGAGCTCATAATGGGCCAGGGGGACGCGAAGCGGGGTCCGGCAGCAGCCGCAGCAGCAGTAGCGGCAGCAGCAGCTGCGGCGGCAGCAGCAGCAGGTGGTGCTATGGCCGGCGTCGCGAGCGAGGATAAGTCCGACTTCCTGCTCCAACTCAGTGCAAAATTCTCGGCTACAGTTCCGGCGCCCACACGAACACCGCCCGCTCCGTCACCCCTCGGCGCCTCACCAATCAGCGCGCTCCTGCAAGAGGGCCTCGTCAATTCTAACGTCGCTAACAACTCGGCAACAGCTGCAGCAGCAATAGCAGCAGCGGCAGGCAGCGGGGCCAGCGGCATTAACATCCCGACAACCTGTTCCGCCTTATCCCTAACGAGTCAAGGAATAGTGACGAGTGGACATTCTGCGGCTGCGGCAGCCGCAGCTCTGCAGAGTCCGTTCACTGCGGAGAAGCTGCGAGAAATGGGCGTGATTAACCCCGAGGCGTTCTGCGAGATCTGTTGTAAGGAATTTTGCAACAAGTACTTTCTTCGCACTCACAAGGCGAACAAGCACGGCATTCCCGACCCGTTTCAGAAGCAAACGGAAAGGGCGTTACAAGAAGTGCCGGAGAACCTCACGTCGCGCGGGTCTGTTCCAGCAGGCGGGCAGCTCGTCGCTATTAGCAGCAGTGGCGGTACAATAATGACATCGGTCGCGAGCGCGGCAGCCGCCGCAGCCGCTTTTGGTGCCCTCGGCAATGACATCGAGCCGGGCATGTTGCGATCGGCGGCCGATTTCGATCTCTCTTCACGCAACGGCGAATTTGGTTGCGACGTCTGCCAAAGAAGCTTTTCAAATCAGTATCTGCTCAAAATCCACCGGTTCTACAACCATAGCATTCCGTACGTCAAGCAAGAGGAGCAAGATAAACAACTAGCCACGATCAGCAGTATAACGGGTTTAGCCAGAAGCAGCAGTGAGCTAAGTGGGATTAGCAGCGTGAACCCCACCGGGGATGGAGCCGCGTCCCCAACGAAGAAGGACCTGTCGAAGGATGAGGACGGCGAAGTTGTCATGAGGAAGCCTGCCGGGCTAGAGACCGACCCCGAGTCCGAAATGAAGACTAAAGAATCTCAAAAGGCAGATGATGAGGAGGACGACCTCGGAACCTCGTCCCCCGAAGACGCTGCAAGCCAGGATCTCCAGAAGCTGCAGAGCATGATCCGCGACCTGACCGCCACGATCGCCAACGAGAGTCGCGTCAACTGCAACGTGTGCCGGAACGAATTTGAGAACAAGTACTTCCTTCGCGCTCACATGATGAACGAGCACGGAGTCCTGCTCGGCGATGACGGCAGCACGACCGATCTCTTCGGCAACAGTACGACCGCCTATTCGAACGCCGGCGGGGGTGGCGTTGACTCCGAGGCATACTGCGACATCTGTCAAAAGGAGTTCTGGTCGAAATACTTCCTTAGGCAACACAAGCTGAATATCCACCAGATATCTGTCGACTCAACGACACCTACCCAGTCGCCGGGCGCTGGAGGAAACGGCGGCGGTGGTTCAATAACGGGCGCAAATCACTCGGGTCGCCGTGACATCAAGAGTCCACGTCAGGCACCCTCGGCCCCGGCGACACCGCACGGGCCATCAATGCCGCACGGTCCAGCAGCTGACCAGCTAAGCCAGGCCACTCAGGCGATGCAGGTAGCCCTGTTCGGGTCACAGCTAGGCGGACTCGTGCAAGGCGTCCAGGGTGGGATATCCGGCAGCAGCCTAGGATCTAGTGGCCTCGGTGGTCAGGGCGGTAACGGGACGGCGCAGCTTTCTGGAGCACAGCAGCATCACAAGCCGTCTGACAAGCCGTCTGTCCCCATACCCCAACCTCCTTCATCTACTGCCAACAGCGCCGCCGCACAGCGCAGCTTCGTTACGGGTAGAAACTACTGCAATATCTGTAACAAAGAGCTGTGCAACAAGTACTTCATGAAGACTCACATGCTCAAGATGCACGGTATCAACCTCGATGAGCAGCCGGCCGATGCGGCAAAGAACTCCATCATCGGTGGGGTCACCTGCGAGATTTGCCAGAAGGAGCTGTGTTCCAAGTACTTCCTAAAAGTACATAAGCAGAATACCCATGGCATTTACGAAGACCCCCCCAAGGAGAATTCCCTGTCAATGGTCCCTGTCTCCGATTACCTGTTCGGCGGGAGCCAGGCCGTGAGTCCCGGTGACCTGTCCTCTGTTGCCATCGCAACGGCACAGGGGCTGACCGTGGGCTTAGACCCGGCATCCCGCAATTTAAGTCAGTACACCGAGGTGTGCCCGTTGTGCGACCGACGCTTCAAGAGCATCAAATGGCTAAAGACGCACATGCTCAATGACCACAGCGATACCCTCAAGGAGAACCTGCACGTGCAGGGCATCCCGGGCTCGCGATTCCCGACAGCCTCGGCAGACACCGCCGGCGCCCTCTTGGCGCTCTTACCCCATGCGGCCGCCGCCCACGCGGGCAGCCCCGCACCCCGTATGTGCGTCGTATGTGGCCAGGCGTTCCCGGACAAGGTTGCTCTGCAGATTCACCTTATCAAGGAGCACCGAACCTCGTCCGAGGAACTGGGTCTAATGAACCTGAGCAGTCGGCCCTCTCCTTCCCGGGACACTTCGACGCCCTCCAACGACAATAGCAATGGCTCGGTGCCTACCGTCACCACTGCCACCAACACGCAAATCGGTGGAAGCATTAACATTGCTTGCAGCGTCACCGGCGGAAACGGTGGGACCATCCAGGCCCTGACACCTTTCAAACTGAGCAATGGCGCAGCCTCACCAGCGCCTGTCTGCCTTCGCAGTCCCTCAGTCACCGCCGCCCTCCAGCAGGCACTGCAGGATGGGCTGTTCAAGCGGCCGCCTACGGGTCATCACGGCGGCAACAGCGATTTGCCCCCTATGTCACCGGGCAACAAGGTGGTCTACCATTGCTCCTATTGTGTCTACTCGACACGATGGCTGTCGAATCTATATGCGCACGAAAAAAGGCATACGGGAGGAGTGAGTGAGGAAAATGTGAATGCCAATAAGAGCAAAAACAGCAGCAACAACAACAGCAGTTCAAGCACAACCAACAATAATGGCGGCTTAAACAACAGTAACTGCGGCTCCGCCCACAACAGTGAAAGTAGCGGCAGTTTTGAACGACGTTTCATATGCCGGGTTTGCCATCGCGCCTACCGCTTCAGTCAATCCCTACAGAGGCATATGCTCAGTCACCGTTCCGGCATGGTGGGAGCTGCCACGGGAGTAAAAAAGACATCCCCCGCGTCTCCAACGTCGTCGGTTATTGGTGGTTTGAAAGACGATGGAACAGCTGCCGGAACAGCTGCCGGAACCGAGGGCCAGACCGGAGGAGAGCAGCCCGAGGATTTGTCAAAATCAGCGACGCCAACGAGTCTACCCCCGCCATCGTTCGAAGGACAACCAAGTAACATCAAGCGGCATTATCGTTGTAGCCGGTGTGCTACGCGCTTCGACACCAAGGAATTGTGTGTGCAGCATATTCAGCAATCGCATTCGGGTCTACGGCGACTAGCTCAATCTTCTTTATCGGGTCTCGTACAGCAACAGCGTAAGAAATCGCATATCGCGAGCTCTAAGCCATATAAGTGCCGTATCTGCGGATTCGGCACCCGCTCGTGGAATGTCCTCAAGATACATATCACCAAACAGCACCAACATCAGGCACCCGGGTCTGGGGCCGGGACAACAGCAAGTGGAAGCCACCATCAACAGCAGCAGCAGCAACATCATCTTCAGCTAAAATCACAACATCACCTGCAGCTAATGTCCGATGGTGGTGCCAACGGCGGCATTAGCATTACAGGCCTTTTGCAAGACGTCGATCCGCTCCTGCCCGAAGTGTCATTACTGGAGCAGGGCTCCGCGATGGCCGCCGCCCTAAGCCGCACCGTCCCTCCGGTGCATACGCCTCCGCCCGGCTTCACCGGCGCCAGCCTAAACAACAACGGCCAGCAGCTGCCCATGACGTACGTGATCCCACAATCTGAACCGACTCCGTTTATCCTGCAGCCGTTCCTCATCGACCATCATCGCAATAGCAGCAACAGCAACAACAACGGCAAGAACGTGGCCCAATCAGAACTGCAATCGGCCCAGCAATCGCCAACAACTGTCGTCACAACCGAGGACAAGGACTTCAAGTTTGTACCATCACTCGTCTATTTGCCCGTCTGCAGAAAGGTATCACAGCCAATGACGGTTGCATTTACTCTGACGCCCGCTTAAAGAACACATGTCATGGCGAATCAACAAAAGCGCTTATGTTAACAGCTCTTATAGTGACGGAACAAGATGACAGGACGACGGGGGGGAGGGGAGCTATACAGGCGGCTTACTATTCCTCGCCTCTGCTATAGACGTTGTGGTTCTGGGTACCCCGCCCTCACCCCCTTGCAAAATCTGCCCGAAATAGACGATCAGCGCAACAGTGCATACCACCATGCAATTTAATGGCAATTTACTAATACAATACCGTGTGCGCGACGATCTTCGTTCGTGTTGACTCACCGAGGATGTGTTTGTGTGTATGTGTGCGAGAAAGGAACAGAAAGAAAGCGCGAATTGAGAAAAACACAAGCAGTTGATGTTTAAACTAATTCGCCGCCTTTCGTCTGCTGAACCCGCGGCCATGCTGCCTTGGCTGTCAAAAGACAAAGTGACTGATAGACCTCTGAACTCGGTTGATACCTGTACGAATACTATATAATATTATGGATCCCCCCGCCCTTCTTCTACTCGCATGGGCTGGCCATTTGCCCGATTGACCATTTGATGAGTCGGTCATCGTTGCCAATATTTCGCTACTAATTCATCGCCGCTGATGCTGCCACTGCCGCCGTGGCCCAGTCGTTCATTCGTTAGTTTGGAGCCTGTTGTTGTCGTTGATGTCCCGCGCTGCCAGCCGATCTCCGGCAACGCAGCTCGTGTTGTCTTGTCCATCCATAGCCATTATAAACAGAAACTATATGGTTACATATATATACCTCTCTTTTTGTCGATGTGCACGACTCGATTGAGCTTCACTTTTACAGCCTCCTCTCGAATTTCAAGGGGAGCAGCATATTAAAGAAATAGAGGGACAGACAGAGAGCGTTTCAAGGCCGCAAGCACGGCGCTCACGAGGGGACCTCGCCTACAAGTGGCCTCTCGGCGGCTCTGACCTCCCCGGACCCCGAAGTGATAATTGTAATATAATCGCCGGGGCGGACGGATCCACCGGGGGTGCCCGATCTCACTCAGACGACGCCGCCACAACAACAATAACAGGCAGACACGGTGCAGATAGTCCGATGCAGGGTATAACTGCAGCGACAAGCTGTGTCGAGTGGCGGCGTCTGACGGGAGCGCGAGATGTATGAAAAACAATATAATTTAACGATGAGGAAAAGATAGTGCCCGTGATGATGATGAATGGTAACAATTAGTAACAATAATAACCATCATGATGGTACAGAAACAGTAATAAAAAATTGAGCACGCACATTCGCACACTTCGTCGCGCGCGTCGCTAGTTGGCAGGGAGGGAGGCCACGGTGAAAAGAAAAAAATGATCCAGAGACGATCCGACGGAAAACTTACGGCCATCTTTACTGGATCCTCGAACCGTGCAACACCCGCAGCTTCAGGACGACATACGGTTACACCAACATAGGACCATGTGCCTGCAAGGAATAGGGCGACTGCTTTGACAAAGCAACAGCACGGCGAGATACACTATCGAAACATAGAGGCCACATCTAGAGGTCGTAATAATAATGGCAAAAAGGATTTGCGATGTATGTCTCAACAGATAGGGCTGGACAAAACCGAATGTAGAAAAAGCGCTACAGGAACAAGGAGCAATGAGCAAAGGTAGTGACGAAAACACAACTGAGAATGGAACAGTTCTTTGTGGAAAATACACACACACATACACACAGACACACACACACACCTAGAAAGTACATAAATATTATATTCACGTAATAACGACGATAATAATATATATATATATATATATATATATATATATATATATATATATATATATGTCAGTGCAATGATCTTCAGGTTACGGAGAAAGCAAACGAAGAGCAACAGACACAGAGAAAAAAAGCCAAGGAAAGAAAATACCGACTACTAATAATAGATGTGACAGCGATAGCACACAAACACATGGACAGATAAATAATAGATAGTCACAAGTCTTCAAAGAGATCCGATATACGACAGGGACAAGGGGAAAGAACATGGCAAATATTCAGACAACCGTGCCCTTTTGTAAGAAAAGACAAGTAATACAAAACACCAGAGAAACATAAAAACGGCCTGAAACGTCAATGTAGAATCTTCCTGAATCTTTTACAGCGTATCTTCTTTGCTGGTAGAGACATTCAGAAGCAAAAATCTACGTAGAAGTAGATACATTTACATCCACGCGCCCTGCTCGACTACTAGTCTGGCATGGACAAACAGAACTAGAGGGTAGTCTATACGATGTATGATAAAGCTAAACAAAAGCAACCACGGATACCTAAAGAATAGTATCGACAGGAGGACATGCGTTAAAGCCAAACAGAGCCGCCAAAACCCCCAGATATATGTCGTGGCGTGTTGAGAAGTAGTACGATTCTAGAAGGTCGCTTGATGGTGCAACACTAGAACCTTGCACGAAGAGAAATACACAGCCCCCTGATAGCCACGCGCATCTCCCAAAGTTCCTAGAAACCCCCGTGCTCGACAAGCAGGGAATTGTTCTTACGATGCACAACATGTCCAATGTGCGCTAGAGTGAATTTGGACGATAGGTTAGAATACGTAATGCCCCAAGCAACTGGACAAACAGGGAATCAAAATCGTCAAGCATTTAATACGGTAACCATTTCGATATACACAAAGAAAAGAGAACTACGACAAGCATACATTGCAGAAAGACACGAAACGCTGTTTGTAAGATGCGCACCAGACAATGATCGTAATGCCTTAATAAAAGGATTACCTAAAAGTAAGGCAGCCGCTGAGACGCAGTGCACCATAAACCTCTCCGACGCTGTTGTGATGTCGAATGCGTCAAATGCTCCCGTGTTCGGTGATCCGAGGCCGATCCGAAAGGTTGTGATTGAATGCCAACAAGTATACCTAAAATAGGTCAAACGGCTAAGGAATATGCACTCGCTAAGAGACTTGTACGCTATTGTCGTCTCACAGTAAACCAAAAAAGCTTAGACACCCCAAACTCTTCAACGTGACCCCGCCTTCTTCCTATTGGTGTCTTTTGAACGAGGTGGTGACGCGGACCTTCAACTTTGCAGAAGGACCTTCTGAGACCTCGTCAAGACGTGAGAGCACCCCACCTTTCCCTTTATTTATATATTTTGTGCGTCTAATCAAAGCGAAGTAAATAAAATTCTGTCAAACGTATAGTATAGAACACATAGTATACATTAAAGATAGACACACGTTGGCTAATTAACAGACAAACAACACGTTAAAGTGCAATAATTACTGGATGCCAGTAGCATTATAGTAACAAACAGAAACCTCAAAAAGCCATTTCAGTCGTCTCGAGTGATTGAAAGATATAGGATCAAACTCGACTTGACTGTATCAATGTACATATTCAATACACGCACGCCTGGAGATGTGCTTAAATTTAATTTATGTTAATACATAAGACTGTTGGCAGACATACAACCTTACCACGTATCGGCTGGCATTGCCCGATCGGCTTGCCAAGGTGAAAACATTAAGTTATAATTAAATCGTTGCCACTGGACTGCAATTAAGTTCGCTAGCATAACTGCAAACTTAAACTACATACGCAGAGCGATCGAAGCAGCGTATTACCAATGCTAAACGGAATCTACAATGTCTATAACAATAGTTCCCATGCCGTTTACGCATTACGCAAACACTGATACACTTCAGCGATTTCGGTTATTATCTTTGACTGCTGCTTAGAAACCACAAACTATCCATATGCGTTCGTCTATAATGATGCGTGTTTTCGTATCGAGCCTCCTTCGGCCCCTAAACTCCACCCATATGGCGACAAAATAGCTAGCAAAAAAGCAATCGATCTTGAATAAAAAAAAAAAAAGGAAAAAAAAGAAAAAAGGTAGCAAATTACGTTGTTAAGGAGCGGAAACCCTGAACAGTAAACCCCCCACTCCGAACTAGCCATGTATCATAAATATCGAGCATCTCACTATATACCGCTAACATTTGAGCTTTCGAAGTGGGAGCGCATTTATCAAAATTTTCAAATAGTTGATCACCAAAGTTCCCAGACGCTCTCGCCGACACGTGGCCTGCGTCACTGATTTGCACATGTCACCAAGTAGGCCGATGACAAACCTTCTGTGTCATCACTGATGAGGGTACATTCCATTAAGCTGCGTCCCTAGCCTTGATCTTACTCGAGTAATAATAATAATAATGGTATTCGCGGAAATAATAACTGTCCTACTCTCAGTGGGCAGCTAGTTAGCTCATTGACTATGTCAAACCTGCGAACGGTTCGTCGCCCGTGAATCAAACTGACTGATCTCAAACGACAGACGATTATGATTTGTTCGCTTGGTACGGCTCGAAAATGTTCTCTCTTCTATTTCATCTTTTGTTCCCTGTTCTGTTTTGCCTGTACTTGCTCAATAGCTCAAAATCAAATCTGTGTTCCCGCCTAAAAAGTTCAAGTCGACACCCCCCTCCGAAAATAGATGATCGATGAAGACCCGCCGCGCGTCCCCCTTCTCCCTTCGCCAGTTGAATGCTTTTGCAAAGCGCACACAGGACGATATTTACTCCTCGCAGCGAATCGTTTTGACGCTTTCAGTAGCCACTTAGACAAGACCACCTCTGATATATTATGACAGTCTCATAGCGATCAGTTTCGATGGGCGCATTTTAGGTTCGGGCAGCATCAAGACACCGTCCGTTCTCTCTTTCCGTTCTTCCTCAAGACGTTACGAGAAAAGTAGATCTATCCCCGTGTTTATCTTGTTCAAAACACACATGTATATGTACACCCGCGGTAATCGAAAAATGCCGACAGTCAATAGAAACCTCGACGACAAAATTTTCGGCTAATTGATCAACAGTAGCTCCCAGGCACCCGCGTGGCTCGCTTCGACGATCTGCACACGTTACCAGCTAAGTTCACGTCAAACTTTCTATGTCTTTACGTTTAACAAGGTCCGATCGTCATTACGAAGTTCTTGCTTGCCCCTGGCAGTGTCTAATCTGGACTCTACAACAAAGCGCACCAATAAATTTCCGATATAGTATTTTTCTTGGTCAATTTCGCTAGACTGCTTCTATCAACTAGAAATTTATCACAGGAAAAATGACGACGACAACAACAACAACAACAACAACGGCAACAACAACAACAACAACAGCAGCAGCAGCTCTACTGCTATGGGTGGACCCTTTAGACCACAGACAGCCTTTGTAAACAACGACACCACAACACATATCCCCGAAGCCCTTACCCGTTCACTAGCGTCACACTAATGTTACTGAAGGAAGATATGGGACAAAGAATAAACTGTGAAAAAAATGATCAATCGCCGATCGAAACGGGCCAACTTCATAGAAACAGATGTCTCTAGAATCGTCGAAACGTAACTTTGAACGAAAAAAAAAAACAAGCATATGATAATATGTGACTAGAAAAACATAGCGGCGTGATACAGCCACGTATGACGATTATGGCTATGCTGCGGGTAGGGAGGCAAAGAAAGAAGACGCTAATTATATGTATATAATTAAAAAAAGGGGGTGACTGCAACGCAGTATCGAACGAATGACATACCTGAAACACAATATAGCTGACAACGGAGCGAACTGATATTCCCGGTGTAAGAAAATTCACGACGATACCTTAGCTGATTATGATCGATAAAATTATATATATATATATATAGACATATTGTACATAAAGTAGCATATGTATAAGCAAATATTATAATAATTTTATTTTTTATTATATTAATAAGAATATTGTAGCAACAGTTATAAGTAACATTAATTATTAAGTATGTTAGAGAGCAACAGAATTTAGGGAAGGAAATTATCTTGACCGTATAATTCATTGTATTACGAAAGCGGCTCGCACCAAACTGTTCGATTCAGAGATGAAAAGATCACTCCACCTTTACTTTGGCACAGAAAACCGACTAACTATGTTTATACCATCTATCTGAATAGGCCAGTCATCGTAGAAAGAAGTTGTTTCTCTACAAATAGTACGAAAAGCTACTGTCGTCTCGGTGGTGACCTTTCTCTCATTCCAGGTCCAGATTTTCCGTCTCTTTGAGAACATAATGTACCCTGATGCTCACAGTCGTGCCGGTCGCTTTATTTCACTCCTCTAGTCTGTGAATTGTGGTCCAAAATACCAAATATAAGTTCCTTAAGTTAATTCATACAAACCTATGTTCTCTTTATTTTCGTTGAGTTCGTTTTGTGCGTTATATTTTATATGCTTTGTTCTTTTCAGCAGCATCAAAGTGAGTTCATTTGTGGACTAATCCATACGTTTTCAGACGGAGTTTCCTTCAGGTAAGGGAGAAAAAAGGCTGGCTTTACTTCGAAAAGCTCATTGTAAATACGTCTGGGTACAACAGCACATTTATATCAAGCCTCAGCATCGTTCGGCAGGGTTAGGTGAACTCATCTGATGAATCATGTTCTAAGTTAACAGCACGCCTAAGCATAAATTCGATTAAAACAGATCAATAAAGCGTAAAGATCAAGCGTTTTTACTTCCACTGGCTGTCCAGTGGTAACCCGAAGATGACGATGACGATGACGGTGACGGTGATACATACATGAATGGTAAACAGCAGAAGTTCACTTACCACCAAACAACCGAAACAAGATAACTGACCGTACGAAACCAGCTTTCTGGTGCCATCCAAACAACAGCTACAACCCACTAACTAAAAAAAAAAAAA